TACCAAGTCAAACTTACCTGTTAGAAGGCAGCATTCATAGCCAGTTTTGAACAGAAACCTAAGTAGGCACTGCCCAGGTCAGACTGCTTCCTAATGTCTCTTTTCCCACATCCATAATAATTTGTTTAATGTCTGTCTAAGCTCCATGAAGATCTGGGTTCATTTGGTTTATCGCTGTATTAGCAGAGCCGAGAACAGCACTGAGCACTCAGAAGACACTCAATAACAATGTCTTTTGTATGGTTCTGGGCTGGAAACTGGTGAAATAATGAAGGAAGAAGGGAACGAGATCATATCTGTTGTAGCTTGTAAAAGGGTAGAATGGAAATTAGAGACGGAATCACAAAAAGACCCCTGGCCACCATCAATAGCTGGTACCACCTTGACTGCACATGCACATCTGGAGAGTCATAGTAAAACCCTTGTTGGGAGTTAAAGCCTTGGGCTGAGTGTTTCGGGAGCTTGTGATCATAACCATGCTTATAAGGCCATCATTTCTCCACTTCCCAACATCTTTGATGCCAGCTGACATTTTCTTTAATCTCATCAGAAAAATAAATGGTGTCACTGTGGCAGCCCTCTCAAAATAGCAAAGAAGCAATCCCCTTCCAAAATGGGCCACACTCAGCATTACATAAGTCTTGATGCTGTGAGCAAATATTACATTTTCAGAAGTCTGGCTGGGACACAGTGGATTAATGAAAAAGGCACTTGGCAGCAGAAAGATGGGGAAATTGAGTTTCAGTTTCATTTTGCTACTTAATCATTGTCCTTGGGCAAGTCTTTCACTGCTCTGGCCTTATTTTCTGCATCTATGAAGTAAGTGTGTTATTCTCAAGGAGACAGAGGTACTTTCCAGTTCTAAAGTCAAACTTATATAGCCTGTTCAGGGGCTGTCTCTAAGAGCCTTCCCTGTTGTCCTTCTGTGTCACTTTCCTCCGGCCACCAATGCAAATCCTACATTTCCTCCCCATTCCTCCAGTGTAGTCTCCACAGAGAAAAATGGGACTGTTTTATCAACTTGAAATAGTGGCTTGTATTTACGCACTTATTAAAACTACCCAGGCCTTGGAAATGGACAGACATTTTCATGGGTATGATTTTTCTTCCTACTGAGAACGTAAGCATCCCAGGAAAATAAACACAGATTGTGAGTTCCCCACCAGCTAAAGGGTGCTTGGCACATCACAGGTGCTCAATCAGGATTTTCCATCCTTCTCAGCAGAAGAGTGTGTGAGCAAATTTGGGATTACTGTTACTACACTCAAATTCTCCAAGCTCCAGAGACAGAATGGCTAGCAACTCCGCTGGTATGTAAGTCCATCCTGCCTTGGTAAGGGATCCATTTCTGCAAGGTTTCCAGGATTGATTTACCTGATTAAGGCTAGCGCTACCTAGTACGTCTGAAAACTCGTCAATAAGTAAAAACCTGTCTCAGTCAGACTTATACAGTTTCACTGACTTTGCAAACACGACGAGCAACTTCTTTCTTGGATTTGCACTCCAGACACAGAGAGAAACCTTTTCACACAGGTAGAGTGAAACTCACCAGTACAAAGCACAAAATATTGTGAATTCAAATAGTTGTTATAGAGAGTGTTTGTGTGTATACAGAGGATATATATATATATATATATATATATATATAAGAAATTTTTACTATAAGAACTGAAACTACTAGAATGAAAGAAAAAAAAAACAGGAAAAAATGCCACCTTTTCCTATAACCCAATATATACATATATACATAGACTATAGAGAGAGAGATGGATATCTACAAACTGAGTTGATTTAGTTTATAGATGGCCTCGAGGCAGAAGCAGTACTGGAGTCTTTTATTTCAATTTAAAAAAAGATTTTTAAAGTTGAAGAGAAAATCCATAAGAGAGCCTCGTGTGAATGTTAAGTACTAGATGTCTGCATTTTTCTAACTAAAGGTATTATCTGTATCTCAAAGGGTCCCCAGAGTTGAAGGCAACTTCTAATGGGATGGTAACCACTTTCTTTCACTTAGTAATGGGCCTTGAGTTCCCATGAAGTATGTGGCAGGGAAGCACTGTTCCTGGTATGCTCCTTGGCCAAATAGGGTCTTCTCTTATCCGAAAGGCCACCTCTTTGGTAAGCAGCTGGCTCTGCATTCCCATTCAGACAGTGGCGGGATGGAGGGTGGGCTACCAGACACTGCAGACACTAAGGCGCTGTCCACAGGGTCTCTGAGACCAAGAGCTCCAGTGTCCTTCCTGGAAACAAGACTCTTTCAGTCCCATTTTATGTATAGAAAGAGTGATTATTTGAGGCTTGAATAGAGAAACTGATGGGATGGGCCTAAACCAAAGCTTTAAAAAGTGAAGACTTTGTTTATTTTGTGTTTAAAATCTTAAGACACTTTCATTGTATTCTATTCAAAATACTATCTTTAAAATGTCATTGCTTTTTCTCCTGTTAGTCCGAAAATGACATACTAAAAATCAACTCGTAACTTACCCTCAAGCATACTAACAAAAACTTGAACAAAGATGTACAAGGATATTAACTAAGACTTTTTTTTTTTTTTTTTTTTTTTTTTTTTTAAGAAAAAGTCTTAGTATGTTGCCTAGGCCTGGCCTTGAACACTCGATCCTCAGTCGATGCTTCAGTCTCCTGAGTAGCTGGGATTATGGGCACAGTGACAGAGCCCCAAGACAATAATTTTAATACTATGAAAATGGAACAAAACAATGTATTCATCAATAGCAAACTGGTTAAAGCAATGATGAGGTATCCATATTATGGAATACCACAGAATAGTCAGAGGAATGGCACAATTCTGTATTTAGTGCACAAAAGAAGCCTGAGATGTATTATGTTAAAACAAAAACAACTCCACAGACAAGCAACAGAATAGTGTATGTCATGATTCCACTTGGAAAAACATAGAAACTTATGTATAAATTACGTAGAGTTGTATGCACATAGGAAAGATCTGAAAAGACCTTTACTTAACAGTGGCTGTTTCCAGGGAGTGAGGCACAGTATGCTTGGAGAGGAGGAGGTATTTTTAACCCAAATAATTCCATCCTACTAAACATTTCTTCTCTTTAGTATGTATTATTTTTCTCAATTGATGCTCATCTGACAGCCTTGGATTAATCCTGACACATTACCATAACAGATTCATGCAAAACTCACTTTTACTTTGTTATTTTTCATAGTAAAATATGCCCTTGATCCCACCACCCAAAACAAAAGTTAGATCTATGACAGTAACCTACATCTAACCACATGACCATATTTCTCATCATCTTGTATTCCCAGAGGCCAGGCAACTAACACCTCAAAGCTTACATTCATTATGACTTGTGTAATTAATAAATTAAATGCAACCAAGAAATAAATGCAAAAAAATTAAATCTGGTTGCCTTTTAAATTCGTTGACCTTGAACAAAACAGAAACATTAGAAATTTATTCTGCTCTTCTGTCTGCACATAGAGCAATCACATCTGCCATTTTTTTGGCAATGCAGCATGGGGTACCCCTGGTGGCCCATCATCAGTCAAGACACTCACTTCCCAACAGAAAACACAAGAGGCCAAAAGAGAAATATTTTCGTTACTTAGAGCAAAGCAAATTAGTGGCTGACTCAAATCCATCCTAATTACAAATTTTTAAAAATGTCTACTCCGAACAAAAAAAAAAAGTCTTATCTTCTCCTCAAGGAAAAATATAAGCATAAAACACAGAGTTTCTCAGGCAATTTTAACTACTACTTTTTTTTTTTTTGGTAGGTTTTTGCTACAGGGTGTAAGCACTTGCCAGAGACAGAGAGGGAAAGACAGAGAAAGACAGAGAGGGAAAGGGAGAAATCACCCCCCAGGAGGAGGGCCACAAGGCAATCCCTTTTCCTCCATTCTACTTTTGAGATTTGGGGTATGCATGCACATGTACCCATTGTGCATTTTTTTTTTTTCCAGTCTCCAGGTTTGGGACTTGAACTGCGGTCAACCAAGTGGAAATTCAGCACTTTCACCTCCGTGCCACTTGCTGGCCCCTTTAACTATCAAATTTTAAGGGACGACACAAGATAAAAATGCCAGAGAGCAGTGAAAAAATAAAGTTAAGCTAATCTCCTTAACAGAACTAAAATTATTCAGAAAATATCTTCTAGGATGTTTAGTCTATCAATTTTTATGTCCTTTGGTTCCAAGAACTCTGAGCCTCCATTTAAGATTAAATCAAACATAGTGAATTGTTATATATACTTTCCTAGTTTGTGGTTAAATTCATACTTATTATAAGGAAATGCTTCTCCAAGTATGATGATTTTTCAACTAATAGCTTCTATGCTCACCTATGACTTATGATAACTAGTGTTGACTCTGCAAGTGGATGAGAATTATTCTAGTATGACACATCATTTTATAAAGATAAAATTCCCAAATGTAAGTCATGCAAATACAGCAATATCAGAAAGTCTTTCCTCTGGGTTTCAAAATGTCTGTTTCTTCCAAATATAAATTATAATTTAATGAATTATCAGTCACTGACATTTAATTAACATGAGCAGATAATTCGGAATGGCAAATAGGGCAAAATGATTCATATTAGGAGCACATTTTTATACCTGAATAAGACAGTATCTCATTTTCTCAACTTTGCAACATATAGACTATCAGGAAGGAATGGCTCGCCCAGCACCCCCTTCCACCCTCTCATTCAGCTCACACTTGCATACCATTTGGTGCTGAGATGGATCCTACTATGGCTAAGTTGCCCTACTTCTCTCTCTAAAAACATAATCTGTGGTCGACAGCTTCCAAAGTGAGAAAGAGTGATATTTTTACTTTAATACTGCTGGGTTGCAGATCACACATGGAGAAGACAAATAATAATCTTGTACCTCTTGGTTCAACTGTTATCAATGAGTAAGTCGGCCAAGGCATCTACAAGTAGGTGCCTTGTAACGGGCTGGGAGAGGGTGTGTAAAGCAAAGAGGCAAGCATCCTGTGTAGATACCACTTACTCCTCTTTCCTAAGAAGCTCCTCCTCAGATTCTGTCAGGCGTTGCCTCAGTGCAGCGATCATTTCCACAGCCACGTCCACCTGTCTGTTCAGGGCCCGCTCTCGTCTCTGCACTTCTTGCTTTTTCTGAGTTAGCTGCACAAAAGCTGCCCGAACTTCCAACAGTTCAGCAGTTTTCTGGGCCAACTCTTTAGTGAGTTTATCAATCCTCTTCTCAATGGTCCGATCCACAGCCTCAACCATCCGATTGAATTTTTCTCTGACGTGTGCCTCGAAAGAAGCTTTGGTGTCTGAGGTTGGAAGTCCAGGACTAGACCGTGGCCCATCCAGCGAGTCTGCACATAGGTCCATAGCAGTGTAGGTCTGCACGTAGGAAACAGGCCTCTCTGCCACCACCTCAAATGGCTTCCTGTCCTTGGAGCGTTCATGGGAAATGCTATACAAGTTAACATAGCTGGGTTTCTGCTTTACCACGTTGCCACCACTCTGCAAGTTTCCCTGTTTCAGGAGTTCTGAGGATGTAACTAGGTCTGTGTCTTTGAGGGATGGAAAGAGGCTGCATTTTGTCAAGAGGGTTCTTTCTTCATAGCTGTGACTGAATTCCAGATGGGCCTTCAAGGACGATAAGCTTCTAAATCTGGTATGGTCTCCACACCTCGGGCAGCGGAATGGCAGGCACACAGAAACATTCTCAAAGGATTCCTGCCAGGGGTATCTGCTTTCCTCAAAAGCCTTCTGTTGCATTACTCTAACAGTCCTGGGAAAGGGAGAAAAAAGAAAAAAAAAAAAAAACAGGTAGTTCACATGTCTGTTGAAAAATATGCTACTGAAATGATGGGTGCGTATCTCCATGAGGGCAGAGGATTTTTGTTTTCTAGTGACTTTGCATATAATATTATAGGTTGCAATTAAAGCAATGGCCCATGGACCAAATCCAGCAACATCCATTTCTGTAGCATCTGCTGCTGCGTTTGCACAATGACGAAGGCAAGTATTTGACACGGAGATTCCAGGCCTGTGAAGCCAAAAATATTTACTTCCCTTTCAGAAAACGTATAGCAACCCTCCTTAAAATATAAATGATGGGAGGGACCAGCAGTTAGCATAATGGCTATGTTGCTGGACTCCTATGTAGTTGACCACGGTTCAAGTCCCAGACCCAGTGGCTTAAACTCAGACCTGGCGCATGTGTGTGTGTGCCCAAGATCCCTAGAGCAAAATGGAGGTGAACAGATTGCAGTGTGGCCATCCCCCCTGGGGGGTGATTTATGGCTTTCTGTCTCTCTGTCTCTCTCTGTCTCTCTGGTGAGAGCACATGCCCTACAGCAAAAACCTCTCCAAAAAGAAAAAGAAAAATGATGGGGACCCCATTTCAATGATATGCACTGGTTAGACATAGAGCTATGAGGCACAGGGGAGGCCTAAGTTCAACTCTTGATCCTAAGGGTCCTATAATCCTAGTGACACAGAGGCTGATGAAAGGGGATCAAAGTTCAGGGATGGTCTAGGCACCCACCACAGGACCTCTCTGAAAATTCAGGCATGATGGTGCATGCCTGTGGTCTTGGCTACTCAGGAGGCTGAGGCAGGATGATAGAGAAACAGTAAGACCCTGCCTCAAAGTAAAAGGATGGGGGAGGATTACATTCCCTCTTTGTAGTTGAGAAAATCAGAGAATGAAGGTAAGACAAAAAGTGGCAGATCCAGAATTGAAATCCAGGTTTCCGGCTGAACTTAGTATACTAAATACAAAACTAACTCCTATTTTTACTGATACAATCCTCATAAGCAAGAATACAAAAACAAGTGGAAAATTCACATGAATTGTCCAAAGGTCCCAGGAGCTCAAGCTCAGCAATCTTTCTGCAAGTGTAGGACAGAGGACTCTAGAGAGGCACAACGACAGTTAACACACAATCAGTTGAAAACGTTTCACCCTAAGATTGTTGCCTTTACTCTTTTTCCTTTAATTATTGTGGTGACTATATAAATCAAAGGGTTATTGGAACCATAATGCTTTCTTTACCTAAGCTTTACCGAAATCTGGGGACCCAATGTGAAACATCATTCAATGTAAGTGTAGCCATGGCCAAGATTTTATTATAATAGAGTGTTCTGGATGCACGTGTCTCGTCTCTGATCCTGTTTTAACATGACAACCTCTAGAGATGGTAATGTTTCAACCAAGCAGGTATCAGCATTAACTCTCTTAATGACAGGAAATTCTTGTTTCCCGGTAGGAATGTATTATCTTCACCTTAGCTACTGATGACTGCTAGCAACCCAATTCTGCAAGCGGTGCACATCTATTCCCTTCAGGAATGGTTTCCACTTCAATATTATAAGCATTGGGTCCAAAAATGAGGGAGACCGGCCAGGAGTCTTAGGACGAAAAGTACCATTACTGGGTCTTCAACCTTTTCAACAAGCAGAGGTGCAAGAATAACGCACATGGCTAAGTAGGCAAAGCTTCCAGGTTAAGAAACCTCTGGCCCCCGGAGAAGGGAACCTCTTCCTGTGCTACATGGGAATGTTTAACCGCTGGTTTTCTGGGGAATGAGATTCAAAACTCTTTCGTGCAGGGCCAAAAAAACGCTAGCAAAAGTAACAGGAAGTCAGGATTCTCAGGGAGGCAGGGGGATGGGGAAGGGGTGACATCCCTGAATAAGGAAATGGGTAATCAAGCTCTCTGGAGGATGTAGGCTTTCTTGGGCCCAGAGGAAACCCCAAACCGCGGGACTGGCGGAAAAGCCCTAATTTACTGTGCCAACCCAGGATAGGCTAGCCATGACCCTGTCTCTGGGTCCAGCTCTCCCTGCCTCGGCTCTGCTGAGCGTCAGATCCAGCTCCCCAAGTCGGTGCGGATTCGTGCGCCCACGAGTTCCTGCAGGTGGAGGCCGAGAGGCCGGCTCTCCCAACTCTCTGCCATGCTACGGGGACGCAGACCCCCTCCTAGCCCCACCGGCGCCAGTGGCCCCCTCCGCCGAGTGCCTGAGCCAAAGCCCTGCAGTCGTCACTTACCCGACTTGTTGCTGCTACTGCAGCTGCTCCCCCGGTGCTGATGCTGCGGGATCGAAGCGGTTTTCAGCAGAGCCGTAAATCAGGCTGAGCCCGGGCCCGCTCCCACCCCCTGCCGCACCCCCGCGCCGGGACTAGCGGCTTCCAGGGCGGAGCGTGGCGCGGGCCAGCCGGCGGGGGCGGCGAACGCAACAGCCCCAGGCCGGCGCCTGGTACTAGTGGTCGTGGTAGGGGTCTGGAGCGCCAACGCCCCGGGACCGCCACCCCCGCAGGTGACACCCTCGCTCTGCCCAGCTGGCGGGAGCGCCGTCTGCTCTCCCCCAGCTGGGAAGCGGATCCGACTCAGGATTGCACTGACATCACGGGGAGAGTCGCTGGGAGCATTCCCAGGGGAGGCGAGGGAGACGCTACGCCAGCCAGCCTCGCAGGCACTGCGCTTTCTGCAAGGCCCCAGCGACCTCTTTTGCACTTGCCAGTTATTGAGGAGCAGGAGAGTCTGGATGAGGAAGCATAGCTGGGCATCTTTGAAAATCTGCGGGCAGAAAGGTCTGAGTGCTTAAATTAAGACCTCTTCATCCTGAGCAACGCAATGAGAATGTCCCAAAATAACTAACCTAGAGTTGACTTCAAGAGCCTTCCTCCCAGTGTTTTGGAGCTAAGTGACGGGCAGAACTAAACTAGTGAAGAATTGGGTTACCGATAAACAGTTGCTTTAACTGCACCACGCGCACCCCTAATACTCTGAGGCCTTCCTTGATGTCGCAGCTTGCTGGAATTTGGGGTGTTTGTTTTTATTTTATTTTATTTTTTTTTTGAGAGAGAGATTTTTGCTATAGGGCGCGTGAGCTCGCCAGAAGACAGAGAGAGACATAGAGACGGAAACCGAGAAATCACCCCCCACGGGGGATGGTCACGCCGCAATCGCAATCCCTTCTCCTCCATTCTCCTCTCGGGATCTTGGGCACGCACGCACACGCGCCCGGCATGAGTTTTAAGCCACCGGGTCCAGACGCTAACCGGGGTGGACTACGTGGGAGTCCAGCGACATAGCCATTAGGCCAACTGCTGGTTCCCTGGGGTGTTTGTTTTTAAGTCAAATTTGGAATACCAATCAAACTAGGGTCAAAGTTACTGTTAGGTTTTCTCGTCCAAAGGAGAGTCTTTTCTTCTGTAAACAGTTACTAATTACATCTTTGCGACTCCAGATTCGTTCTCAGGAACTTATTACTCATTTCAACACCGATCTATTTTAACTATAAAATAAGTAGCTCAATAATTATTTAAGTTGAAATTTTGCTTTTTGAGATTTTTGTTTTGTTTTGTGAATGAATCATCACATCAGTGTCATTAAGAGCTCAAGCTTTGGAATCAGGCTTGATTAAATTCTAGCCTTACAATTCAAGGTTTACATGGTGCTGGGACTTGGAGGAAAAACTGCACCTTCCATCCTTGTAACATGTGGTGAGGATCCACTAATTGGGGATGGAAATGAAAGTTTGCTGACCCAGATATACAGGGATAAAGTCAGCTATTATTGGTGGTGTTGTGTCATTGATAATTAATTAGTATTAGATGATGCGAGGGGGCGTTTTGTTTTGTTTTGTTTCACTAAAGGTGCGTGCTTGCCAGACATAGAGGAAAAAGAAAAAAGTACCCTCAACTGGGAATGGTCAAACAGCAATCTCCTCCATCTCTCCTTTGAGGACTTTGGGTACCCATGCACACAGGTGTGGAGTGTTTTTTAAGCCTTGGGATCTGTGACTCCAACCATGTGGTCAGCCATGTGGGATCCGTCTGCCTTAGCCATCATGCTGTGGAGCTGCCTTAGAAGCTTCTAAGTTTTGGGACTGGCAGTTAGCATAATGGTTATGTCGTTGGACTCCCTTGTAGTCGACCGCGGTTCAAGTCCTGGACCCGGTGGCTTAAACTCACGCTGGGCATGTGTACATGCATGCCCAAGATCCTGAGAGGAGAATGGAGGAGAAGGGATTGTGATGTGGCCATCGCCCCTGGGGGGCGGCTTTCTTGCTCTCTGTCTCTCTGTCTTTCTGGCGAGCACACGTGCCTATAGCAAAAACCTCTCCAAAAGAAAAGTTTTTAAGTTTTTACTTACGTTATTTTGAGAGAGTGAGAGAGAGGCATCCTCAGCAGGATCTTGCCACAGCATGAACCCCTTCCCCTAGCCTGCAAGATAATCAGGATCTTGGATACACTTGGTGTGTTTCAGATCAACTCAGAATCTGACCTACGGTCAACCATGTGGCTTCCAGCACTGCAGACAGATACACTACCACCTTTACTACTGAAGCGAGGCCTTCATTTAGAGTTTCTTTACCTAGTAATGTCTTCTCATCCTTCAAGGCTCTGCATAAGTATTCCACAAGAAAGAAGCCTATATACCTATAAGATAAGTATAAAAGAGAAGAATAAATGTGTACTCACTTCCACAAAGGATAGACCAAGGAGATTTTTTTGGAAAAAAAAAAAAATTGTTCCACTGACATTACTTCTTGACTTTCAAGAAATCTGTTTATTCCAATTATCAATTCATTTAGAAAAACATTTTAAAATCTGCAAGGTACACATAAGGGAGGGCCAGGTTATCTAGCAGTTCAGGGGAGCATGCCAACTCTTACATTGGTGCCTTAATAGCAGAATGCAACAGAAGTATTCTCCGGAGGGGGACACTCTTGACTAAGGGCTCCTTCCTTTTCTCAGAAAGCTTCTTTACCTTTTGGGAACAAGCAGTTAGCGTAATGGCTATGTCGCTGGACTCCCACGTAGTCGACTGCGGTTCGCGTCCCAGACCCGGTGGCTTAGAACTCACGCCAGGTGTGTGTGCGTGCATGCCCAAGATCCGGAGAGGAGAATGGAGGAGAAGGGATTGCGGCGTGACCATCCCCCTCTGGGGGTGATTTCTCGCTTTCTATCTCTCTTTCTCTCTCTGTCTGTCTGGCGAGTGCACACGCCCTATAGCGAAAGCCTCTGCAAAAAAAAAAGAAAAGAAAAAAAGAAAGCTTCTTTACCTTTTCTGGTCTGTGAGTTCCTCCTTTGTGAAATGAAAGAATGAAGATTTTTTTTTTTCAAGGGCCTTTTCTCACCCTCAAAGTACCATTAATATTATCAAATAATTATGGAGAGGTTGTTCTGTATAGAGTCTAAAGCTGAGTATTGTGGGAGATTCAACTGTAATTAACAGACATTGATGGCCTCACCGTCTACACCAGTTCTGAGTGTACTTGTGCACCCCTTGCCCCAGCAGAATGAGCATCACCTGGCAACTTGCTAGAAATGTATGTTACTAGCATCACGTTAGTTTTTCTAATTCAGAAACTCCATATGGTCTGACCACAGCAATCCATGGTTTAATCAGCCTTCCTGGTGATTCTGATGAACGCTAAAGTTTAAAAACTGGATTTTCCATACTTCTTCCTTCATTGTCTCAGAACAAACCAGTACAATGCGTTATCACTGTGAGTACTGTGTGTGTCTATGTTTGACACAGTGCTAAGCCCTTTATTATCTCATTTAATCTTTCAACCCCTACAAGGTATAGGAGACCTTATGCACTCAACTTCATCCACACTGGCATCCCTCTACTTCTTCAAGAGAGTCCAGCTTCTTCCCATATCTAGTGATTTTATTGTATAAATATTTTACGTATATTATTTCTTTTTGAGAGAAAGAGAGAGTAAAAGAGAGACAGGCACACTAACAGGATCTTACCATGCCATGCCATAATTCCCTTTCCCCAGCCCTTAAGCTAGTCAGGACCTCTGGCAATGTGTTTTTATTTTTTCTTTTCTTTTTTTTTTTTTAGAGAAATTTTTGCTGTAGGCTGCATGTGCTGGCCAGAGACACACACAGAGAGAGAAAGTGAGAAATCATCCCTGAGGGGGATGGCCATGCCACACTCCCTTTTACTCGATTCTCCTCTTGGGATTTGGGCACACACACATGCACCCAATGTAAGGTTTAAGCCACTGGGTCCAGGACTCAAACCATAGTTGACTACATGGGAGTCCAGTGATGTAACCATTACAACATCTGCTGTTTCCAGGTAATGTGTTTTAAGTCAACTCAGGATCTGAACCTTCAGTCAGCCAGGTGACTTTCCAGCACTATAGATCTATGTGCTACTACTTATACCTCCAAGGCTGGGCCCATATCTAGTACTTTTTTACCAGTAATGCTTTCTCATCCTTTACGACTCTGCTTCAATATCCCCTCCCCAATGAGGTCAACCCTGACATTGCCATACTAGGTTAGCTCCCATTAGTACAATTTAGCGCAGCAGAATTTATCACAATAGAATGGTTATTTGTGTAGTTTGCCTATCTAACATAGGTATCCACTATTAAATTATAAGCCACAAGAAGGTAGGAGCTGCTGCCCCATGTGTGCTGACCCCATTCTGCCCCTCACCCATCTGGAACTGACAGGCAGGCCCAACCTCTGCTGCTCAAATTGAGCTTATCAGCAAGGACCTCCTACCTAGCCTGCTGTGGGAGAAGAGGGACCCTCCAGACTTCAAAAACAAATAGCTGGGTTCCTGCAATCTCAGAAAAAGAAGAAGCAACAGGGAGACCCTGCCGTCCCAGAGATAGAAGCTAGGATCTGCTGGCCCACCTGTGCTGATGACATTCTGCCCTTCATGCATCCAGGACAAACAGGCAAACCCAAGCCACTCAGCCTGAGCTCATCAGCAAGGATCACCTATCTAGCCTATGCAGCGCAGTGGTCTACCACTTTACTTTCTGTAGTTGCAACTGCCACCCACATTTGGCACAGTTTTATTTAGGTATATAAGAACCAAACACCTGAAAATAGGAGGCTCTGGAGGAATTCTTTCCCCATAATTTTCTTAGCAGTAAAAGGAGAAACATTCCCCTTTGAAAAGCTAAATCCAAAACTCCTACTGTGGGTTCCATATTCTCACTTACAGTAGAGGAAGGAAGTTTGTCCCGACCCGTGGGACAGTCGAATAGGTTGCCTGGGGGAGGGAGTGAGAGATGGGACAAACACATGCACACA